TATTAAATCTACTCTTAAAGTTTAATAAAAATACATATCAATATCAAATGTCTTTATTCAAATAGGAATGTTACACTCGCTTATTGATAGTCAAAATACTACCACCGGTTCGGAAAAGAAAGCCACTGTACTGAGAAGAGCCGTCGAAAGAAACTCAGCGGTCTCCGCTGCCGAGGGCTTCCATCTGGCTGGGTCTTATTTATGTATGTGTTATATTTAATATTTATATCCATATGTTTATTTTTATTTATAAACCGGCGAGAAAGCAAATAAATATCTCCACCATAATAATAAAGCCTTGTTTATACCTTAATAAAAAAACTACATTATTTGATATTTAATACAATAAATATACGAAAGTTAAAGGTTTACTACATTTTTTTCTGTTAGATTGAATAGCTCACGGTCTCGCTGCGGTTTGAGTAGTAAGTTACCCACTCAGCGTTCCGAACAAAATCTTCGTTTTCAAAATCTAACGGAGATTTCTTTTCGATATAGTTTTTTTATTTCTTCTTATATTTTTCAATAAATGAATTTTGAAACTCCTAAAAATTTTAACATTCTGCTATCATTTTCATTCTTAAAATTACACGAAGAAGTAGAATTAGATTGCAGTTTCGTGATAAGTTCTTTTGTAACGATTAATCTGAATCAGAAAATAACCTACAAAAGTTTTACTGTAAGTACTGATAGATTGTTTTATAATTTAAGTTAATAGTCTTGCTCTTTATCAAAATTTATATTTATTTAGTATCGAATAATGAACATCATGAAGTTCATGGACACAAAGTACATCCCGAATTGAAAAAGCAATTGACTAATCACACAAATATCCCGTCTAATGCGGGTTAAGACTTCAGAAAGACGCTGCGCACCAGTTGGTGGCAAGTTGGGTACTACTATCCGTGTGGTCTATTTCATAAAGCCAATAATTATCTCATTTAAATATAACTTAAAATATTTAGAAAACAATTTTATTTCGAATGTAAGCTGATATTATATTCTTCACCATCTAATCTGATATATAAGATAAAAAATTTTCAGTCTTCAAATATGGCTATCAGTATCTCAGAAACCGGGCGAAAGTATGATATATCTGTATTTGATTACTGATATCGATCGCCTGTGGTATCTAATTAAATCATCTGCTATTACCTACTGTAACGACCTATTAATAATAATAAATATTATTATTAATTAGTCATAATAAAGATCAATTAAGATGAAAGTAAAACATTTAAGAACGTTTAGTCACAATAAAAGTTAATAATATACACTTAAATTTAAGAAATATAAGTGTTAATATGAGAAAATGATATTACCAAAAATTGATAAAAAATAGTTAAAAATCACTTAAAATACTCAAAAAAGGATATTTATTAAAAATATAGCAAGATACGATCACTATTATGTCCATTAAATACAATTCCATACTTAGTGATTTCTAAGGGAAGTATTATGTACCGTGCGGGGACACATTTGTATGACCGCACATATGTAAGTACAGAGGTCGATCGCGACTCTTAGTACTATAGTCCAAGTACATTGTATGAACGTCCCATACCAATATCATATGGATGTAAGGTCTAATGGATAAAAGTAATAATATGTGAAGGCTCAGAGAAAAAATAATGAATATATAAAAATAATGAAGAGCAATGAATGACTTGGGATTTTATAAGACATATTACTATGGAGTTGCGTGGTACTTCTGTACGACGATATGGTCTACGGTAAACGTGGAACCATGAATGGATATGTCTTCAGTGGTGGACATATCATCGATAGCTGGTGGTAGTTGGCGTCTTAGTGACCATCACTATGATACGTTAGCTGTCATTCGGCATATTAAGAGTTTGGTGGTAGTTGGCGTCTTAGTGTGTTGCACTATGATACGTCGACTGATCATCTGACTTTGGGGAGTCTGGTGGTGGCTTGCGTCTTAGTGTATTCCACTATGATACGTTGGCTATTGCTTGGCTTAGGTGGGGGCCGTTAGTGGTTGGCGTCTTAGTGTTTACGCTATGATACGTCGACTATCATTCGGATCGTGAAAGAGTATGTTTGGACACTTCGTGTGTTCCGAGGATATTCTAAACTTTGGAGCCGAAGTTGATCGGAGTTATATTGGTGTGGTGTGAGGGTGTGCCACCTACGCGATAGTCACATTGATGCATGCGGCTATATGCAGTAATGCGTCTTGTGGTATTTGCGGGGTGATCTGCGCCTAATATCATTGCATCGCATGATTCTGGTTGACGGAGGTTCGAGGTGAGAAGATGTCTGCTGAGTATGCGGATTGGCTGTATGTTGGCGTGTTGACCTGCGATAGTTGTATTGATGCATGTTGCATTTAGTGACATTGCGTCTTAAGACATTTGCTTGGGAGACGACGCTATTCATAATGGCCGAGTCTGCGTCTCGGTTTGATGCACATCTCAGTAGATTTGTCCAAGTCGGGTTCCTGATGACGGAACTGCAGACTGTCTGACCTCTCTTATACGTTTTAATATCATTAACGAATCTTAGTAAAGTTCCCACCGTTCGAACGAATGATGGCAACTTGCTGGTGGGTGAGACAAACATGATCGAAAATACACTATACTCAACGTCAGAGACACTGACAAATAAATATATGTTGCCAATTATAAACCCTTCTGATGGCTAAACATAAAAATCACAACTATGGCTATATCTGACTATTTCAATGGTTGGTGGAGCATATGCGTTTACCTCATGTGGATGGTAGCTGGCGGGAGAAAACCTCTCAAGGCTGCGGCGATGCCGTGCAACGTTTTAACCATACCCTTGGGGTGACCAGTGACTCATAACGCGCTCTGCGACAAAATGTCGTGCCAACCTTTTTAATGGTGGTGATGCCAAAACACTAACAATCACGTCTGCAGTCGCGGCGATCTGGCAAAAGTGGTGGCGCTTACGGAGGGCTTATTATATCATAGGGCCAGAGTGCCTGATCTTTAACACATGCCCAAAACCGTATTGACGTACATTCACGAAGACTGGATTTGTCGTCGGCTTGTATGACGTTACACGCATTGACATGCGCGACTTCGGTCTAAGTTTGTGCTTACGCACTGCCAAGGGGCCAAGCCCTCTTTATGCTGGTAAAACAGCTTTGCATTGGACTTCGGTCCTTTCCCCAACTTTTTGTCCCTCTTCTGGGGGGGGGGGGGGGGCGCAATATGTTGGTTGGCGCTCACCGCACACGGCGTTGGTGAGTGTTTTCATGGAGCCGTGTGCCTTCCCTACATTTTTTTTTTAAAATGTGGGGGAGCTGTTGACTTGTATCGGGTATGTGAAATTGATGTGAGCCCTTTTCAAGAGAGAAGGGATATTAGTTTAAAAATTATATTGTGAGCCCTTTACAAGCGTGAGAGGGAGTATACTATATACTCTGAGCCCGTCTCAAGCGAGTCGGGATTAGTTAATAAGAAAGCAATCTATCATTATCTCTGGCTTATACCACAACTAGTGAATATTTATCTATCCAAGATCCACCTAAAAGAATCAAGTTACTAAATAAACACAACGTAAATGCGGTCCTACCGAACATGACGATCACAATAATATTTCATACGGCTAATTATTACCTTTAGAAAGATCAATAATTTATCCTGGTCACGTAATGATGTTTTATATATGATTTATTCATATAATGGGGGAAAAAATATATAAGTTATAATTATATATACACAATAAAGGGGGGGTGTGAGTTACACTACGTACATTTATCGACTCATTAGTCGTTCTGTTAATACATCGCCGACCTATTTACAATTGCTCCATTCACAATACCTGGTAAACGTTTTTAGAGCCTACTTGAATAGAATTCTAAAGAAATGTATTAAAATATTTATAATATCATGGCCGTATATCCTCAAGTAAGTAATATTATATGTCATTAATTTAATATGTTTTCTAAATTCTGCTTTACTAGCCTAATTTTCTAAAAGTTGTCAACACATCTGCAACCCTCGGGTGTAGCAGATGTACATGGGCGGTGGTATTCACTTCACATCAGGTGAACCTTCTGCTCGCTTGGCAACTTTTCAAAAAACTATATTTCATATTTGACAAATACTTATATTTTCTTTACTCTCTAGTCTATTTAACTATGTGCCGCTTTCTATTACAGCACCAGCAGCATGGAGATTAAGCACCATAGTTCCGATTTAAACGGAAAGGTACCATTGTTACAACTATCGCTTAATCAAACCCTTGAGTCATACTACAAAGCTTTATAAGAGAGTGGACATCTTCCTAAGATGTTTGTGCACATTGTCGTAAAACCACTACGGCTTCATTCCCAGGTTATCAACCACCAATTCGATTGATTCGCAATATCGCCGACGAGATGCAAGAAAGTAGGTTGAAAAGGTATAGTCACGTCAAGAGAAGACCACCGGACTATGATGGGAAATTGGCATAGCAGTTTTCCACGTGTAGTCTAAGACATAGAACATACGTAGTGTTACAGGTTTTGAGAGAGTACTAACTATCCAATGACAATATCGGGAGAATTGATAAATACTTTCTAAATAACATTAAGACGGTTTATAAACTGTATGCAATAATATATCATTTGAGGAAGAACAATAAAAACGAAACCGTCTATTATTACATTTTTATTAAACTTACACTTGTAATATTACAAAGAAACTATTCACATGAAAATATTTACGTTTATCTTTATGATATTAACATTTATTGACAAATAGATTTAGTTAAAAGATGTCTTACATCATTTAGTGGCGTAAATCGTTAACTTAGTATGTCACATATTTACATTTATTTACATTTAATTACATTTAATTTACGAAAACACTATGACATTAAATTTCTACGTCAGACTTTATATTGATGTAAATCATATGTATTATAAGTCAACCAGTGACAATAAATTAGCAAACTACAAGATCTGTGTTACAAAGGTGTAAACGATACTTAAAATGTATATAAAAATTACCTAAAGTAATTTAGTTATTTACATGGTCAAGCATTTCTGGTAATGCATTGTATGCGACCATGTTGCCGAAACTTCCTTGTGGCTCCTTCTTTGTTACTATTGCTACGATTTCTTCTTCTGGTGGTGGAGGAGGAAACTCCAAATTTGTATCAACTGCTGACGATATATCATCTACACTTATAACTATATCTCTATTGTCAATCTCAATTCTATTACGTTCTATAATCGAACTGTCCTCCATAATACTATACAGGTTTTCCGATTTCCCCTTATACATTTGTCAAGAACTCATATAAAATGGGTCGTTTATATTAATTTCATCGTTAACGGTGTTATTTTTTTGTGACCACTCTTTTTGTTGATGCTTTATTCTGTAAATTATTTCATCGTGGATAACGCCAAAGCACATAGCTGTTAAAGCTAATCCCGTCAAAGTGTATACAGAACAAAACCATAAAGTAGTGGAATTAATGGTGTAATATCGAACGCCATGGATCGTTGTGTAATCCATGCCAGGAATTATACTACCAAAACCAATAGTGCTCAGTGCCATAAAACAAAAATAAAATCCATCTATTATACTCATATCATCGAGTTTATAAAGTATGATTGCCCCCAAAGTTATGTAGATAAATATTGCTGCTAAACATAATAGAACGGGAGCTAAAATACTTAAACCATGCATAGATAATTTCGAGTCTGTATCAGGCCAACTTATAACATCGTCTTTCGCAGTACTCGTTGTCGGTCGTTCAGAAATTGACGAATCTTTATGGCTATCTGTTTTTAAAACGTAACACTCTTCTGTTGGCGTTTTGCTAGTGTTTTGACTATTTAATATTTCTTCCTGTTGACGTCGAAGTTTCATCCTTCTTTCTTTTTCGGCCATGCGCCGTTCGTCGTAACAACAGTAGCCACAATTTGAACATAAACAGCAACATAATGCTCTACTAAACACACTTCTTGCCATCTTCGATAAAAGTGAGCCAACGCTTGAAAGATAGACAAGAGTAAGCGGGATTCCAATTATTGCATATAAAATTGTTACGCTCTTTCCAAGTATAGTCCTTGGTGCAATGTTTCCGTAACCTGGAAGAAAATAAGGATATTATTAATATTCACATACGTCACGTTCCATCAGTATTTGTAAATATCTCAATAATTATGCATCCATTAGCGGATACTGAACTGTGAAGAAACGTAAACAATGTATATGGGTAGGTATAGGTAAAACGTAGTATATTTTACCAGCGAACAGCTAAAGGCCCAGACCAAAATTAGCTATTAACTTTCCGACTCTCCTTCAATTTTCGATATACATAACCCTTGCGTAACGTTCATATCTCTTTGTCTAGTTATGGAGATTATGGATACTGTTTACTCTCTCCATGTCTCAGTTTATCCAATCTGTTTAATATAATTTCATCAAAGCATTTTTTTCCGTTCAAATTATTACATTCTCTTAAAAAATATTAATTAAAAATTATAATATACTTACCGATGGTAGTTAAGACGGTCAAAGAGTAAAAAAATGCAAGAGCTAAGTTCCATTCATGCTCCTCGTAGTGGTTATTACTGTCATTGCTGCTATATTCACCTAAAGCCATTTCCCTGTAGCCAACACCGTATTGCGATGCCATTTCGGATGTAACGCGTTGCACAAGCTCGTTTTGGAATTTCAAAATTTCCTGGGCAGCTAGTCGAGTCCAATTCTCTCGGTACAGAATATTGAGGGAAACCGTTATCTCCCATATGTTTTCCACTGCTTTGCTTCTAGCGTCCCAAAAATAATTAGCTGAAAGTGATAAATTTCCATTATCTTGTTCCCTTTCATCCATTTCTTTTTTATTGGTACCATTTTGATCGCGCAGACTTATTTTTTGTTTATCGGGTAACAATCGGGGTCTCATGTTTATGTCTGTGTCACCCTCAATAGTTAGGAATATAACTGAACCCAAGAATGTGTATGCCAATAGAACAAAAAATATAAACATATTGGTAAGAGACCCAATAATAAACTGTTTTCGTCTATATTTGGTTGTCTTAAAGCAAAAACAGCAAACAACTTTTTGGCGAGAACTTTGTGCTCGTTTTTTGTTAGTTGAAGTCATAGAATCCACATCTTGGCATTTCTCCAAAAGGATTCCACCATTCAGAGCTGGTTTGGCTGGTGTATATTGCTCGAATCGGTTAATTGCTTCTTTGTCCAATATTACATGGTTTATGTCCATTTTGAGGCAAATATTAAGCTCCACACTCGTACAACAGCATCATTATTTTAATTGCCATCCGCCTTTATCTGAAAAAAAAAAAACATAAAAAGAATTAAATAAAGTATTTTCTTATATTACTTAAACCCTTATTCTAATACGAAATAAATTTAATGTACATTTATACTTTGGCGTAATGTAGCTGTTACTTGTAGTTAAAATTATATTTAATTTTCATCTTAAATAATAATTTTAAGGGAATGAAGTTTTATCGACTTACTTATACGTGAACTACAATTTATTCAACACAATGTATGAAATTCTAAAGGGGATAAATAAAAACCTACTTGGAAAACCTCATTAAACTGTGTTATAAAAAATTGTTTCACACTCGCCACAAGGGCTTAACTCTTCGTTTTGTGGTGATTCAAAGAGATATAGTTAATTTTTATTAAATAATAATCTTATTCCACCGCAGGATTACTAGTCTTGGAAATTATAAAGAAATATACAAACTGGCAAATTTCTATTATTAGATTATATCAAAGTACATACATGCATACGCATATTTAACAAAATATACATAAATTCCGTAGCGCAAATCCTCTGCTAACTCCACTATGCAATCAGGGCCGTGCCTGACGGGCGTTCATTGCGTGCACCGCACGCAGGCGGCCGAAATTAAGAGGCGGCCAAATCGTTACAAGTTGTTTACTGGGCAAAAATACAATCGGTTTGTTTTCATTAAGATACGAAGTAAAAACAGTTTCTCTAATCTAATCTATCTAAAAAGAGTTTCTCAGAAATAAGAAATGTATAAAAACTGATTAGGTCGTTGTAGTATTTATATACCTAGTCATGCAGCGAATCCGAATTTTTTCGAACATTGCACGAGCGACGAGCCGAAATAGTTTTTTCAATTGACCGGCGTCGCGTAAGCGGTCTTATTCGTCTTATTAGTCGTATTAGTCTATAGACTAGCGATGATAAATCGTTATTTGTGTCCTGTGTGTGATCCGATATTATTAAATTCTTTAATTTAACGAATAAAAATAAATTGCTTAATTCCTGAAAACTTTTAGTTGTGTGTTCGTGTGGTGAAATTTAATAAAAAGTTTATTTACTCGACAAAGACTGAAAAAGGTAATACACAAAAAATGTAAAATTTGGGTAGACTTTCACTTTTTGGGCCCGGGAAATTTTGGCGGGTCCTTTTGGAGGGAAAAGGCCTTTTGATATGAAATTCTTAAATAAATATTAAAAAATATTTAATAATATTAAAAAAAATTAAAAAAAAAATTAAATAATAATTAAAAAATAAATAAAAATAGTGCAATTATTTTATTATTTTATTTTTTAATATTTTTTTTTCGTTCTCGATTTCGGTTAACCAAAAACTGATTTTTTCCCGGTTTGATGCCCTGTGTAAAATAATAAACATTAAAAATTAAAGTAGTTTTTTTTAATGTTATCCTGGGGGCGGCCATGCAGACTGGCACGCAGGCGGCCATATACCCAGGCACGGCCCTGTATGCAATCATATCGTAAAACGCTGAGAGATTGTTATAACATTAGGTTTTTTTTAAATAATCTACATAGAAAACATTCTACTAAATCAATCTATCAAGATTTCAAAGCGATTGAAGATGTCCAAACTGAATGAAGAAAATACTGTAATACATTACAGTACTCAATCAGGACCATTAGGGACCTTTCCGATAATGATCAATTCAAAGACTGGACGTCAATCTTATCTAAAATAAGTTTTTAGTGATTTCTTTTCTTGGATGTTTTAAATTACACTAGATCACTGCATCGCTTATAGATTACGTCGTAAGTAAATAATTTGGAACAGTTTTCTCTCTGATTTTATTGCATACGTTTTCAAATATGTATTTATATGTTTATTGCTCTGATAGCCGTGATAGCTCAGTGTCCGAGCGCTCGCCTTTAATTCAATATACTCGAGCAACCTGAGGTCGATCCCCAGTGCCGGCACCAATGAAATTGTTAATTTTATAGTAAGCTATCGTTTACGCATCAAATAAATAATGTAATTTATAAAATAATAATGATTGAAAGATGATGTAATATTTGTATTTTGTCTTCCATAGTTTCCCCAAAACTTTCTGTTCATAAATTTGAACTGTTTTGATTCGTTATTTCGTTGCTTAGTCTGGTTAGCCAGTGTGGCTAACCAGACTAAGCAACGAAATAACGAATTAAAAAAAATCTGTTTTATTAATTAATGGTTAAATAACAATAATGAAAGGGATTTCGGTGTTATTATACGGCTTTCCGATATAATTGTGACAATTTGACTGCAAAAATCAGCATATTTAATTATTAGAATTTATTTGCACCGTTTGGTAAGGTTAAATCTATCATCTAGACAAGTATGTAATCAAACTGTGCCATTGAAATGTTTGTGAGGGTCGCTAAATGTTAAGTATTTCAAACATTTTAATCTGTATGTGGACTTCTCTTTCGTTCATGAGGTCTACAAAGTATTTCCCTTCAATAGACCATTATTTCAACTGTGTTCAATAGGGTGAATGAAAGTAAAATACACATTAAAACTTTACCAACATTAAATTAGGCCAGTTAGCAATTCAAACAAAGTACCTACAGAGGCACTTTAACAATTTCACCGTAAAATCAAGTCTAAGTGCTGTGACAAACTTGAAGCAATTTACGAACAATTTCCAACGTATTAAACTTTAATGGTGAAGTTATATGTTAATGTCACTTAATTTGAGTTAAATCGATGTGTGTTATGCATGGTAAGCGCTTTCTCATTTTTATTATATCCATGAACCTATCTTCATTGTTTTTTAATGCTACCCACATACCCCAATAGTCCTTAACAAACTGATTCCTCATGCATTATCGAATTAGAAATTATAATATTTAAATAAAGCTTGGTCATAAGTGAAGTAATAAAAGTTACTTCGTTGGACCTAATTATTGAAAAACAGAGTTTGAAGAACATTTTGAATAATAGGGCCTAAAGAGTGCCTCATATGATAAACAATGTTATCATATTTAATTTAAACTTTATATAAATTTATTATAATTTTTTGTTGCACAAATAAGTGTTTGAATTTATTGATTGCAATATCAAAGTATTGCCGTCCACTGCTAAAGGCAAGCATCCCGGTCCTGGGCAGCCCGCATCCATCCGCTGCCCGCCACCTTTCTTAAGTCGTCAGTCCATCGTGCTGCAGGCCGTCCCACACTACGTTACCTACGTTTATTGATTACTTTTATGTATTTATATCGTGATACATTTTCTTACTTCACATTTTCCCATTAATTTGTGAATTACTTTTTCCGCCTAAGTTGATGTGCTGCGCTTTTGACTAGATTTAATTTAATCTTTCACCAAAGCAATATAATGACACTGCTTGACGAATAGGAAAAAAGGTTTCTCTTGTTATTCAAATTAGTAAAACTTGGCGAGTGTTGAATAAGATCTTGACTTTTGAACTGCAAACAGTTCCCCAACTTTTTGCCAGTATAATTTGACATCAGCCACCTTCCAGTATATCTTACGGTGGACTATAAAAATGAATGATGAGAATGCTCCTAATCTGTACAAACTGTTAAAAATATGTGATTTTTATTCGTCTATTATTATAAACTATCGTATTTCATTTACTGTATTTGTAAAAATTAAAGAACATTCTAACACCATTGAACATAAATAATATGTTTGATTTCAACCAATTTATTTATGTTACCTTGAAAATATATGATGTATCCTGTCTAACGGTTATTTTTTTAATAATAGGTAGGTATGTACAGATTGCCGTGTGGTGTCGGCGTAAGAATAAACCGGTGGCCACCGATAGATGGCGGGATAACCATCTCGACTTTCCAGACCCTAAATATCCAGGCCACTAAATCTGTAGGAACTATGGTTGCCAACCAGCTTGCCAGGCGTGGCAACTATTTTTTTTTATGTGAAAACTTGCCAAGCGAGCAGACGGTTCACCTGATGTTAAGTGAATACCGCCACCCATGGACATCTAACGCCCGAGGGTTCCAGGTGCGTTGACAACCTTTTGAAAATTGGGGTCCAGCCACCTCACTCACCATACGGAACGCGAAAGTATTTTTCATACTTCCACTTTACGCCGGTCTTCTGTGAGGTCGTGGTACTTACCCGGACGAGCCTGCCCATTCGTGCAACAGCCAAGGCTGCTGCGTGGCCCTACCACCCTAGAACTATGGCAAAACGCCCCTTATGATGGAAGTCCAAAATGTGCGGCCCCCAGTCCCCGGCGGCCCTGCTATTCCTGGCTATGGTAGCGGTCATGGTAACGGCAGGATGAGGTGGAGGTATGTATCAGGATATACCACGAGCCATACATTCCTCCAAAACTCAGTACATGGTGTTAATGGGAGACTTCAACGCAAAACTAGGC